GGGCTGCACGTACAGCGCCAGCCAGAAGAAGCGGCTGTCGGTGGGGTTGATCGTCTTGGTGCCGGGCTCGGAGCTCTCAAACACCCACTGGGAGTCGCCCGACTGGGGGTCGACCTCGTTCCACCAGCGTAGGCCCACGAGGCGGCGGCCGGCAATGTTCTTGAGGTAGTAAAAGTCGGCGGCGAGGAGGAGGATGGTGATGATGAAGATCATGATCCTATTGGTTTCACACGCCGCGTTAGCTCACTGGGACTCTTATTTTCGTCTCCATATCATCCTCGAGAAATAGTGAGAAAGGGCAGATCCAGAGAGACAGGACGACGGGCCCAGGGAGGAGGGTTGCGTACATGCTCTTGATGATCCAGAGGCCGAGAAAGTAGACGAGAACGCTGGCTGTCAGGAACGCGTTAGCTGCCCGTTCTGCAGGCCACGGAGGGGGCATCGTGTCGTACATATCCGGAAGCCGAGGAAGGTGAGCAGCGTGATGGGGTGGGAGCTCAATCGCCAGCTCAGCGACCCTTCGACGGGCGCCTGCGGCGCATTTCTGGTCCATGGTGGGAAGTGGAGGAGGGCGAAGCCGACAGCTTCAATGTCGCAGTATTGTCGTCGACTTGTTTTCTTTTGCTTCAGATCCCAACGTAGCAGAAGGGTCTCTCTGTCGTCGTCTTCGATGTCGCCGTTGTTCGATCGAATATCGCGCGTAGGCAGTCGTCGTCGCGTTGGGGGGTTGAATAGCTTCGCAAATCGACAGCTCTGTGAGGCACCCGAAAGTGATAGCTGTTCGTAAAGGGAGAACTGACGGGTTGTTCCGTGACCAGACCCATGCTCCGCCCAGTGGTCTGTCGAACGGTCGGCTGAACTGCGGCATTAACACCCTTACGTCATCACGCGCAACGTGCCGAACGATTGCTTGGGCCGAACTCACCTATGCCGATGCCGTGATAGCTTCACAGCCGAGCTCAGAAAAGTTCTTGAATAATCACATCATACCCTTTGACTCGACAATCACTTTGAAGGGCATTCACTTCCTGATTCACAGTAGCCCGGCGCACAGCTTTGCTCAGCAGAAACAAGCATCTCAACTCCACATTCACTCATAATGGCATTAGCGGCGAGGTCGCCATCCATATTGCGCCGAGCGCTCCTTTATGGTTCATGCTTCCCCCCCCCCATTTTGTTTGACAAGAACCTAACACTTGTCAGTCCCATCCTCGTCTGAAAAGATGCTGACCAAATCTCTCGGCCTGACCGCGGACAATGTAACATACGACCTTGAAGACTCGGTAACTTCAGCCCGCAGACCAGATGCCCCGGAAACAGCTCCGCTCCTTTCTCTCCAATCAATCCTCTCGCCCCGCATCCATATCTGAGCTGGCCGTTCGTATCAATGCTGTAGAAACTTCTCTCGCACTCGACGATCTCACCGCGCTCGCCCCCGTTAGCCAACGTCGATGCCATATGCGTACCCAAGGTCGACTCTGCTGCTGACCTAACCTTCGTCACCGATGTCCTCCGCCATGTCGCCCCGGAAAGGCATGCCGAGAACTCCAAGAATCCTATCAAAATCGTAGCGCTTATCGAATCCGCCCGTTCGATCATGAACCTGAAGGAGATATGTGACGCCTCACCCTACCTAAGCGGACTAGTTTTCGCGGCCGATGACTTCGCCAAAGACCTCTCCATCACCCGATCACCGTCCCTCCATGAGTTTCTCTACGCAAGATCTGCCATTGTGACTGCAGCAAGGGCCGCAAGCCTACCCAGTGTCATTGACCTCGTCTGCACGTCCTTCCGGGGCGAGACAGGCCTACAACGACTTGAAGAAGAATGCTTAGGCGGTAAGGCCATGGGCTTCAACGGAAAACAATGCATCCACCCGACGCAAGTGGAGCTCGTGCAGAAGCTGTTTGCACCTAGTGAAAAGGAACTAGAGTGGGCCGTCAGAATTACCATAGCCGATGACAAGGCCAGCGCTTCAGGCCGAGGTGCATGGACGCTCGATGGCATGATGATTGACGCACCAGTGTCGGCAAAGGCTCGTTCCGTGGTGAAGAAAGCGGAGCAATGCAAAATGGATGTCGGGAGTGTGCGTGCGAAGTGGCAAAGTCAGGAGCCCGAGTGAACCAGGTTAAATAAAATAGTTCGGCCTCCAGAATGATGATAACCGTTGAGCTTCCTCGGCTGCGTTAATCGTACTATTTGTGTCTTCAGACTGATGCAAGAGATACGTCTTCGATCTAGAATGAGCATGTGGGTTGAGCCTCGTTCTCTGTCCATCTCGTTGAGTCCGGCGGTCGCCCAATGCGTTGTTGTAGGAGCCGAGAGTATGTCGTTGATGCGTCTGATGCCACACCCCACTTGTCGTTGGCGCAGCATTATCAGGGGTGTCTTCTATGGTGCTGAACCATTCTTCGTCGCGACATCTCTGGTCCGGGTAGTTTTGGTGCGACCAGTATCTAGTACATTCATCTTGGTAAACTTCTGTCTCTAGACGCTGAATGAAAGCGACCACGCTTTCCGTGGCATCCTCGTCGTGTATGGTCATATTCATGTCGGATGGTACAGCATATTGTGAGTGTAGTGTACAGTGCTTAATATCATTTATAGGCTGATGCTGCTGAATGTCTTGTTGACTGTATACTTCTCGTGTTGTCGAATTGTGAGTGCGGGTTGATGAGACGAGAGACTGACCTGGTTGAGACTGAATCTGAGTATCAGCAGGTGATTTAGTGACTTGGACAGCCGGGCACTCTTTAGGCAGGCGAACGACACGGTCACTGGGTGTTGACCCTACAGGCGCTGTGAGGGGCCGTGATATGTGGTCTTCGTCAACACGCTGGAAACATCGCTCAGGCGTCTCCTCTAGCGAAATAGTCCGCTGCGGTCGTGGAGGTGCTGGAGAGAATGGTAAAGGGGATTTGGGTGCCGGCGACTTGAGATAGATTTGTTTGGCAATCTCGTCCCGAGACACCTCTCCCTTGAAAGCCTCTGCCATCGGAATTAATCTAGCGTCTGTTTGATTCTTCTTACCGTGGCCTTCGTCTACTGGATCAGCCGTCTTTGTAATCCCTCCGGAAGCCGTGTTTTGCGCTCTGCGTTGCAAGCGTACTCTCATGCATCTCTTCGGAGGCTACCGAATGATCCATTCTCGCCTCTCGGTCGAGCGAACTCTCTCTTGCCATCACACCCTTGTCTTCGTAGTGTATTATCGCAGTAATTGGGCGACTATGGTTCAGGGTATCGTGGCCTGCGACATGGCCCTCTACCTCGCGGGGCAAGTTCCCAGACCTCAGTGCGCCGATTTGTTGTGGGTTCTGAACCTGACAGCCTCTTTTACCTACACCTGTACCTTCGAGCACTCCAGATTCTTGCAGAGCTTGCTGTACATGATCTGGCGTCAGACTTTCTTGACAGACGCGTCCCAGCTCGTGTGATTGCTGGTCAGGACGCCTTCCTCTGGACATGTCACTCGTGGACCAAGTGTAATAGGAGGTATTCTGGCCCGTTGATGGTCGGTCTTCGCGTATGTTTTCGGGTGGGAATAAAAAACGATTTTCTGGCTGGTCACGGATGACCTCTCCAAGTCTGTAGCCGCTTATCTCTTGGTCTTTGACGATATTACTCATACCCTGCACCTGCTGACGATCGCCCTGTAAGACAGGACGCCTGAATATGTCGGAAGCTTCGTCTAATTCTCTTCCCCTTTTCTTGTGTTTTCTGTCACGAGACCGTGAGGGTATGCGTTTCTTCGCCGGTCGGTGCTCATGAGACGACGCAATTTCCATGGAGCCGTGTCCAAGATCTTGGACTGATATCCGTCAAAAGCAGCTTGGAAAGGATCGGAAGGTAGACTCACTCTTCTGTGTAGCGTGACGACCATTATAGAACAGACCAGGCGTATTGGCAGGCTGCAGCTGTGCTTTGTGAGCTTTCCGACAGTTTCATACCGAAGCTAGGAACATACCGTCACTCGGCTATTATGGACTGCTTCTGGAGCGAACTTCTCCATGACCTCACGTGAAGCTAGCAGCATCCTGTTGTTGGTCTCTCTGCGTCGACTTGGGCGCTTGATCTTCTCTGCTTTGCTTTTCGAGACTATTTTTGGGGGCGATGCATGCAAATCGTACTTGTCATGCCTTGTCTTGTGCCTGGCTCTCTTCTCGAATGCTGGCATCCGCGGTGAATCATCTTCCAGAGATCCATTAGCCGTATCAACACGATCTCGAATAGGGGCCTGTGGAGCGTGTTGATTTGGTGCAAGAGGGTTGTCATCAACCCATGAATGCTTTTGATCCTGACCGATCGTATCACACGCGGCTCCACCAGCAAGGTGTTCTCGATGCCGTACCGCTCCTCTTTGCGTACGATGCCTGTCGTGTCTCTTCCCCAGAATAGCGGTCGTGTTGCGTGAACGGTCGTTGACTCGCTGCAGCCACAGCTCGACAAACTCGTTGCCGTCCATTGTGCCGCTAACGATCCCACACTCCGCTATCTGAAGCGCAGCCAGCGCTTCACTGCGTAGGTGGCCCCTCACACTGGGCTGTGCGGATCCGTCATCCATCCTCGACTGGCTACGGGGTTGCTAACGTGGCACGAAAGTACACTTGGCACCTCTGTGAGGCAGCTGGGCGACCACCAAGCTGGTTTGAACGCCTCCTGGACGCTGTCAATGTAGATGATGAACCCAAAAAGGCAACTGGGGCTATGCTTGCTTGAAATTACGCAAATCACCCGCGGGGTTCTAGCACGAATATACGGAAACACCTGCCCTTGTTCGATCCACTGGTTGTGCCTTCCACGCTATTCTGCTGTGGAGGTCGTGACTGTATCATCCCGAGAGATACCAAAATCTTACCCTTGGCGTTTGGATTTATGGAACTTGGCACAACCATACTCGCGGACTTTTTTTTTGGTTTAAAAAAGAAGAAAAAAAGGGAAAAAAAAGACTTCAAGAGATAGACTTGAGATCTATGATTTCTGCAACCAACCTCATACACAGCCCAACGTCTTCGTGCGGTCATGGTATTTGCAAGCAGCTGATTCTACTGTCAAAGAAGCGACGAGGCTGTTGTAGTTTCCCAGTCTCTCGAGGAACGCCGTGATGCCATTTTTGCCCTTTTATTTTCCGGCTCTTTACTCTTCTAGCTACGGGTCAACAACTGCCAACCTCAGTATCTCGCCATCTGAGAGGTCAGAGATGATATCATGGAAGTTTCGACACACTTGTCGCTTGACAACTTGGGTTATGACACTGGCGATTCAGACAGCACGCGCAAGTTGGTGACCCAGGCCTGGAGTAGATGCCATAAAAAGCAAGACAATTGATTTGGAAACACAAGAGTGGGTGGGGGTGCACCTCCTATTGCATCGCCAGCTCTCGAGTCTTCTCATTGAAGTGATCACAGGGATCATGCGAGTCAGACGTCTTTCCCACGCGCAACTCTTCCAATGGCTTTCTTGTGTCCTTGCCCTCCGGCTTTCTAATCGCTAGTACGCGGTTCGCCTGTGTCATTGCGACAGGTCCTTTCGAGGATCAATTCTTAGTTGCTCCTCGGCAACTATCAAGTTCAGGCGGATGACCGGGCTCTGACGATCGTTCAAGGGCGGCAGACTCTGAGGCAAGACGGACAAGACAGCTCCTGGACGGTTCAGCGACACCGGTGAAAACATGGACTTTTGCAAGGACGCGATACTCTGTCGGGAGCGCCGCATGAGGAGCAGGGACCTCGTCGACAACGCTGTGCAGCTGAAGACGAGGTTCGTTTGGCCCCCGTGGCCACCTCGAGCTAGATGACCACCTGGACCTTCTATCTCTCATAGCAGGGCAAGGTCCGGGTTCCTCGATACAACATTTCTACGAGTAGTCATCTGATGGCTTGTCAATCTTTCGACGGGCTCCAGGCATCCTAGCGATGTGTTGTGTGCTTTCAAGACGGAGCCAATCTTGACTTCGCAGCATCCTCGGACTTGTAAAGCCATATATATGGACGCTGATCATGAGAGGAGAGCAACCGGGCGCTGTCGGAAACACTGGACGAGGCACTGGCGGCCCTTGCTACCGCCAATTCGCTTGGTCACGGTGACGAGACACCTCCTCTAGCTCACCAACTTTCAAATCACTCTTCCATTGATACGCCTCCCGGCGGAGATGGAAGACCAGACGATAGGGTGTATAGTGCCCGAGATGAAGATATGAACCTTGTTGACAGCGGCAGGGTCGCCTCCGGCATCATCATTTCAACAATGCCCAGGCGGAAACCACCGCGGGTTCCCGACCGATCCGCCGGCTACGGTTGCTATATATGAGATGCGTGCACAAAGTGAAGTCCTTGCTATCCAGGTTCACACAGCTTTTCTGCAATTGTAGGTATCCAATCGATAATATTTCTTTCGTTTTGGAAAAAGAAGAACAAAGAAACGCGTTCAAAATACCCTCCACGAGTCTCAATGCGCCGCGCGTAGTTCTTCCTATGATGGTCTTTGACCTTCAATTGCCGGCAACGCATGCTGTCCCTTGAACTGCCGCCCTAACGCACGGTCCACTCAAACGAATCACAAGGTTGTTAGCAGCCGTCTATCATGAAGCCTCCTTATGTGACGTAAGTCTTGCCTTGCGCCACCTCTGAGTCACGGCTGATTCCAACACAACAACGAGTAACGCTACTCAGCAGTTGAAGAATTGCCTCCGTGGGAGTCATAGCCTACTACTCAGATCCGCTAACCGCAAGGGCAGTGAGGCTACCAGTTTGTCTCATAACCTGTACTAGTATATAAGAAAGAAGCCTTGTTCGCTGTACCAAGGCTCTTCTAACCTTCCATCGCTAGGAACGAACATGGCAACATATATCTACATCAACGGCTACCCCGCTGTTGGCAAGCTGACCGTGGCAAAGGAGCTGGAGAAGCGAATACCCCGGTCTAAAGTCTATGACAACCACCTCATGATCGACGGCGTCGCTGCCCTGGTTGAGCGCTCGTCGCCGCATTACCAAGACTTGCGGACGGCTGCGCGCCGGTTCTTCCTGGACATCATCTCCACACACGACGTGACCGATGGCGTGACGTGGATCTTTACAGATTCGAGGGAAAAGAGCGCCGAGGCTGCCGCCGCCGCTCAGGACTACAAAGATGCTGCTGCACGGCGCAACGTTCCTTTCGTGTCGGTCATTCTCCACTGTGATGCCCAAGAGAACGAGAGGAGGATTTTGGGAGAGGGGCGCGGCGGTCGAACAAACACGAAACCTGGTCGGATGTAGAGGATTCTGCGGCAGATTCGGCGCGAGGAGGGCCTACATTCGTTTCGGGGGAGATTGCGGAGTTGGAACTGGATATCAGAAACTTAGAGCCCGGCTGTCGCTGCGGAAAACTATCCGGAGGCACGTTGAGCAGGTGACATGAGACCGAGCAATTCGGTGTAGAGATAGGTCTGGATTCCCGTGTGCAATTGGCCAGCCAGCAGCGCGCTCAATTGACCAAACATAAAGCGAAGTCACAAAATCGACTCCGAAATAGACTGGTCTGTCGAGCATCTGCCAGCCGATGTTAATTGTTGCTTCACTTCAGACATGAAACTAGGCCTTAGTCGCAGAGCTCTGGACGATCCTGACGTTCACGGAACACAAGGCGTGTCGACCCGCCAAGCCATTTCTATTCTGAGCGCAAAGTCTCCACCGCGACCTAAGCGACAGACGAGGGTATCGCGATGACAGCTTGATATGTCTGATGGCGTTGCGCATTGACCGTTACCCCTCTCCCCCGCCCGCAGGGAGACAGACGAGGTTTCATCGCAATGTCTATAGCTTCATAACCAAGCAACGCCTGAGGGATCATCAAGCGAGGGAGGGACGAGGGAAGGAGAGGCAATACGAAGCGGTAGTGGAAAGCACTATGTCGAAATTTCTAGTCGGTGTACGCAACTGCTTGCGTGGCATCAAGTTCCCGAGTGTATCCTGCTGGTACAGTCGTTGCCGCTGCCGTCGTCGTCGTCGTCGTCACGTTGCGCGTCTCTGGTCGGTAAACGGCATGGGTTATTACCTGCCGCCGCCGCCGCCCAAATCGAGAAAGACCCAGAAGCTCGGGTCAAGGAGTGCGGGTGTTCGGGATTTGGGACACTGGCGTTCAAGATCAGCCAAGAAAACCCAAGGTGTCCCCAGGGTCGCATTGAGTCTTGATCACGCACGTGCCTGTGCAACCAGGCAACCCCACGTCCCCTCTCCCTATCAATCCTGGGGTCCTTGGACAGGAAGTGCTCCTCGCACTTCTTCTGTTTTGAGCTTTTTGGCAAACGCCCAAATCCCTCTGAAAGGTTCGGGGTGCTTTCCAGAGTGGCGATGCTGAATACATAGGACAAGCCAAGCAACCGGATGCGGCGAACAAGCCTCTACGGAATCGAAGCAGGCGCAATAAGAAATTCGGCCGAAATGGTTGCAGAGCAAACAGCCCATGGCCAGTGGGCCGACTCCTTGCGAGCTTGGCCCCCTTACATGTTCGCATCGTTGGGCGCGCCAGTCAACTTGAAAGCCGCATGCGACAATGCGACAGGTCCTGCTTGCATGCTAGTTTTCCTGCCTCCTAGGCCGCCAAACTGCGTGGTTGGACAGGATTGACTGCAGGAGAGAGGAGAGCCAAAAGGTTGTTAAAGATCGTCGTTGGGGGCGAAGACAAGATTTCCCACCGGCAACAGCGACCGTCAGCACAGGAGTGTTTGGTGCCACCCAATGTGGCGATTGGTAGGACGATACTCGAAAGCAATAAATGCCCATAGTCTGTGTCGATGCGTTGCTTGGTTGGCAGGGGGTGGGGGGGATGCGATTGTGTGGTGTGGCCTGGTTCCACACACCCGATGGATGGCACGCATGCTGTTCACGATCTTCTGGTAGAGTGCCAAGCCAAGATTGGACATGGCCTTTGCAAGACAGGGAATCCAAGACAGGGAAGGGGGCGGTAGGAAAATAGATTGAGATGGATGGCAGATCATGTCGAAATCCCCCTCATGGAAAAATTCCAGCCGAACAGAAACATTCAGGCAGGCAAGGCAGTTAACGATACTGGATGCTCAGCGCTTGGACCAGCAGCCTGTCGCCATGCTCAGATCGATGCTCACCAGGAAAGTCCCTTGAGAGGTCCTGTGCTGTAGGCAGGTACCTAGGCAGGTACCTAGGCAGGTGGCTACAGAGCTACTCAAAATAAGTAGCGACCCTCATTGGTGGTTTGAACGCCATGGAGGGGGGGATCTGAGAGATGGGAAGGACACAGGGGAGGCCAAGGAGTTGTAGCAGGGGTGAGGCAGGAAGGACCCGCCTATTAAAACGGACATGTGCACTGCCTCGCTCGAGGGTGACATCGATTGGGAGCCAACGCCATCACGAATGAGTGGCAGGATGTGTGTGTTCAGGACACATGTTTCATCCAGCAAAGTAGGTCGCGCGGAGAGAAAGGCAATGTAGAACGGTACATTCTCCTTCCTGCTAGCTCTCTCCACTCTTCAGGAGAAACGGCGCGGCGCTGCTACTCGAGATTTGAAGCCCCGACGTGCTCATCTGCTTCAAACAAGGCAAGGTGAAGGAGGCTGTGCAAATGTGTGGGGTCGCCCGTTTCTGCCCGTCGCCCGTCACTCGTCATGCTGATTCTCTCCCCATCATCATCCCATGGACTCAGGACGTATCTACATGCGAAGGTCGGTGGTCAGTGTTCTGTAGCACTCAGTCACTGGCGGCAGGCCGCCTGACTTGTGCAGGACCTAGGTACCCAGCAACGAACATCGCAGGACCAGCCCAGCATTAACGTACCTACCCAAGGTGGCCACAGCCGCGACGGATACTCGGCGACGACGGCGTGCGCGCCCTGGCGACGAGAGAACGACAAAAGGAAGGGCAATCAATCACAGTCCCTCGCCTTCTCGTTGTCCTCTCCCGTCCGCCAGTCCGTCGAGCTGTTACTCCACTTGTTGGCTTTCTCGAGGAGATGCCGTGCGCCGTGTTGAGACATACCGATGGGGTCTCTGGAACAGCCGCCCATCCCGTTCAACGCGCGCAGAAGCATCGCGTCGTTGCATCCACCTAGGTGATCCCCCGCCCCGCTGGACCTTCAAGCTGTGCTGCTCTGGATGCTGCAATCGCAGGTCCTGAACCCAGCATGTTCCCTCACCCTGGTTCAACGCTGGTGAACTGTCGAGCTGGCAAGCTAGGGGGGCCGGTCACCCCTTGTTGCACACCTCACAAGTGCCTCGCACCTAAACATCTCGCTCATCTTGCTCATCCAACCATGCGCATGGGCACGGCACCCACACCACCCCCTTGGAGCCAGCCTTGGGCCCTGGTCAGTCGAAACATTCAGTGACAGACGATACTTGGAGCGTGGAGCGTGGAGCATGAGGGAGGCATGGAGCATAGTAGAGCATGGAGCATGGGGCATGGTGCGTGGAGCCTGGAGCACCAGCATGAGCACCAGCGGTAGCAGCAGCACGCACCACCCATGCGTCTTCTCGGGCAGATCTCTTAGATGCCTTGGCCGCCTCTTCTGGCGGGCGGCGGCGTTCGGGCCACGCTCATCATCCTGGATGACCATGACATTTGCTTGGGACCTTGACCTCATTCGGCCTGGGGGGGTCACGGTAGCAGGAGCAAAGGCAGAGGGAGGGGGGCGGACCCAACGCCCATCCTCTCATATAAGAACCTGGAGGACCACGGGACGGCTGCCCATGCCCTTGCGACTCCCCCTTCATTTACACCTTTCGTCCTGTCTGTCTGTCTGCTTTTCTTGATCGCAGTCTCTCGCAAACGGCCTTGTTCGAATCTCACAGTCCTTTTCGTACACGTTCAACGACGACTTTATTGTTCGACACCGCGCGAGACGAATCTACCTTGTTGTGCCATTTCTCTTCAGAGCTCAGGCACACTCCCTCCACTCTTCAAGAAGGTACGTATCTATACTTCTGAAAAGTATATTTTCGCTGTTCATGTGCACCCGCGGTACCTTCCCTTAGGTACAAGGACTTGGGAAGCTCCCCCTCCCGACCCCCAACGACGTCAAGCTCTCTCTCACCCCGCCGTCTCTCCCACGCCTGCCCGCTCCTTCCCCTCGTCCCTCGTCCGTCCTTCCCTATTGCCTCTTGCTTTGCGATTGCTTCGCCCCTCCCCCCCCCAACCCTGTCGCTCCTGGCTCAAGCTAGAGTCATTGGGTCACTACATCACATCACTTATTCTCCCCCTGTGCATCACCTCATTGGGATTCCGGATCGCGGGCCTGGTTGTTCCTGCTGTCCATCTGCCGCCGTGTCCACCCCGGGATCAGCAATCCAGAACCTAAGGTACCTCCCATCACACACGCCCACGCCCCTCCTTTGCCAACCATTCTTCCACCACCCACTGCCAGACGTGCGCACCTCATTCGCCGTCCCGCCTCCGAATCAACTTTCTCCCTCAACACCATCAACTCGCTGCTCTACTGCCTAGACTCGCCACATCTCATAAGCGCAATCCTTGTGACGATCTACTACTAGCAACCAGATCAACCTCGACTTGCACCGCCAGTTTCCCCTTCCCTAGATCTGCACACGTCGATACAAAGGGAATCGTCTGTCTGCCCATACACTCCATCTGCCCCCCTGTCCTAATCTGCGCATGTTGGCGCTTCGCCTTGAAAGTCTCTTGGCACAGCACCCGGTGTCCTTTCCAAATTTCACCTGTTCCGTCTATTGTTCCTGTTGGCAGCCACATCGTGCCGCAAACCTGAGCTGACCTCGTTTCCAGTTTTTTAGGATCAGAAAACCTCACCTACCGACAAAATGTCCAAGCTTTTCATTGGGTAGGGCGACTTCGACAATCATTCATCGGATACGCCTGCTGACATGCTACCAGCGGCCTTGCATGGCACACCACCGAGGAGACTCTGCGCTCCAGGTTCGAGGAGTTCGGCGCCGTCGACGAAGCCGTGCGTATATCACTGCGCGTTTTTGTTTTTGGCAATTATCAGGGCCCACTAACGTTGCTTCCAGGGTCGTCGTCAAGGACCGTGATACTGGGCCGCAGCCGTGGTTTCGGCTTTTGTCCGCTACTCTCAGGACGAGATGCCCAGAAAGCCATTGACGCCATGAACACGTTGAGTATGTTCCCCTCCCATGGCGCAATCTACGGGTGTCCTCAACACGTGCTGGACTTACGCTTCTAGGTTCGACGGG